CAACTCACACTGTTTTAACAAGTTGGTCCCCTTTGTTAGAAGGAAAGGATTCAGATTACCAGTTTTCAAGGTGATCAGTACACTATCTCAAGCAGCATCACTTTTTAACTTTCTTTCTGATTTTACTACAGGAGTACGTGATTACGGCATGAGCAAAGGCAGCTCCCTGAGTGTGCAGTAAGCACACAAGGCCCAGGCCCTCTGCCAGGGTCCACCTTAAACACACTGGCCTCCCCTGCAGGCCCCAGACAGCATGTCCACCTCAGGAGAGGCAAGGAGCCCAGAGCCCGATGTCAACATCTGCCCACTCCGCACCCACCCCCTGCAGCCAGACAAAGGTGCTACGCCATTGGGCTGAGCTCTTGGAGCTGACTGTTGCACACTCAGGCACCTGCCTTGGTGGCTGTGAAACACAGCATCTAATTGGTAATAATGGCCATCGACTTACAACAGATCATATTAAAAATAAAGAAAGTATGCAAAACTCCTTGTTTCCTCATTCTCTTACTGATTTTACAATTACATATGATCTGGATCTGACTGTGTTTGTTAGGGTAGGAGGTGAGTTGTACATTGTTAACTTAAACTCAGGCATTTCCATTTATACCATGGAAATCAGCACACCCTCCAAATCAGAGCTCAAGTTGATGCTGAAGTGAAGAGAGATTAGTGAATGTAATTTATAGGAAGGTGATCACATATCAGATTTAGTGGCAGATGTGTTAGGAAACAAGCTGGCACAGAGGCTGGCAAACTACATACAACGTGGGCCCAATGCGAGCACCTTCTGCACGGCCATAGAGCCATACAAAATGGTTTTTACAGTTTTAAAGAGTTGTGTAAAAAACAACAACAACAACAACAACAAAGAAGAGTATGTGACACATGTGGCCAGAAAGGCCTAACGTGTTCACAATTTGGTCTTCACAGAAAAAGACTGTTTACCTTTGAGTAGCCAGATTGAGGTGCAACCGTATTTTTCAAAACCATGGCTGAATGGAGACCACGTGTTTGGCAAAAGTCAACTAAAGCATCCTATGAAACTCAAGTGGATATGTGGAAGCTACAATAAAAAGTACTGTGTATTTATTATCATTTCTAACTGTGAGCTGCAGATGCTTTATGACAGGGATTGGCCATCGTTCTCAGGACAGGTCCAGAAAGCAAATGCTTTAGGATTTGGGGGCTACACGGTCTCTGTTACACATCAGCCCTAGAGCCATCATCTTAAAAAAAACTCTTTAAAACTGTAAAGACCATTCTCAACCACAGAGACCTTGGGCCTGGCCTGGTTGGGCCCTTGGGTGATAGCTCTGTACCCTCTGTAAGTTACACGTGAATATCCAGCCGCTCCCCAGCAGGCTGCTGTTAAGCTTTTATAAGCACCCAGAGCATTTGGTTACACTTCCGTACTTGTGGCCAGCACTAACAGAACTCTTTGGGATGATGGAAAAGTTCTATATCTGTGCTGACCAAAACAGTAGACCCTAACTATTAAATATTTGAAATGTGGCTATCCCACTAAGGAAAAAAATTGCATTTGTAAATGAATTTAAATGTAAACATCCACTCATGGAAGAGGCTACCATATCACGCATTCGGTTCCACATGGTTGAAAATGTCAAAGGTGGCATCTCTGGATAGGTAAGTGGAGTGTTAGGAACCACAGTGAGAACACTGCAAAATGCTCTAACTGGACAGCTCACTCTGCCTACCGAGATTTATTTTCCTCATAGTGGGCGCTGGTCTTGATATATCTTGCCAGTTCTATTTGCATGTCCCCGAACAGCGGAACCACCTGGAGCTGCTGTATTTAAAGAATAAAAGAAAACCCAGGGTCATTAAATATGTTTAGTCACCAAATACAATCGTAAGAAGAATGAATAATGCTAATAATTACTGTGGGTTGAATGCTATCTCTGCAAACCACTTACTGCAAAAAAGTTGTAAACAACTTCTACGTTCACTTTAAGAAGAACAAAATAAAAGTTAAAAACCAACTCTCATAAAACAAATTCAAATATTAAAATTAGGGCTTCCCTGGTGGCGCAGTGGTTGAGAGTCCGCCTGCCGATGCAGGGGACACGGGTTCGTGCCCCGGTCCGGGAGGATCCCACGTGCCACGGAGTGGCTGGGCCCATGAGCCATGGCCGCTGAGCCTGCACGTCCAGAGGCTGTGCTCCACAACGGGAGAGACCACAACACTGAGAGGCCCACGCACCGCAAAAAAAATAATAAATAAATAAAATTAACCTACCTTGTTACTAGATCCATGGTCATTAAAAAAAAAAAAATCAACTATTTCTATATACTAGGAACTATTAGGAAACAAAAATCTAAAGAGAAAAAAATTACAATAGCATCAAAAAATAAATAAAAAGTATATATTATTAAATCTAACAAAATATGTGCAAGACTTCTAGACAAAAACAATACCAAGAATTCTAGAGAAATTTTTAAAATTCTAAGGGAATACAGAAATACATTAGGTTCATGTATATTGGAAGACACACATTTCTCCCTAAATTGATCTATAGATTCAACAGAATCACAAACAATATTCCAAGATGAAAAATGGTTTATGGGTTTTCTGTGTGTATGTGTGTGTGTATGTGTAAATCAGCAAGTCAATTCTAAAACGTATTTCAAAAGATGGAGGGACAGGGCTTCCCTGGTGGCGCAGTGCTTGAGAGTCCGCCTGCCGATGCAGGAGACGCGGGTTCGTGCCCCGTTTCGGGAGGATCCCACATGCCGCGGAGCGGCTGGGCCCGTGAGCCATGGCCGCTGGGCCTGCGTGTCCGGAGCCTGTGCTCCGCAAATGGGAGAGGCCACGACAGTGAGAGGCCCGCATAACGCAAGAAAAAGAAAAGATGGAGGGACAATACTCAAGACAATTGTGAAGAACATAACTTGAAGACTGGTAAGTAGACCTGCTGGAAACCTAGAGCCAGCATGGCCCTGGAGCGCAGGTGCAGACCAGTGGGGCAGAGCAGAGAACTTAAGGCAGAGTCACACACATACAGACACCTGCTTTATGACACAGGTGACTCCTCAGAGCAATGGAGGGGAAACAGTCTTTGCAATAATTGGACAGAGTCAACTGGATATCTAGAACAGGAAAAAAAAATCCAAAAGTGTCAAGCCCCTACCTCACAGCATACACATGGCCAGTTCCAGGGGCATTATAGATCTAGATGGAGAAGAAATGGTGATGCTTCTAGAAGGTATCACAAAAGAAAATTCTCGAGAGCCTGCTTTATTAAAGATTTCTTAAAGTGGACATCAAAGATTGATATATTGGACCACATTAAAATTAAGAACCTCAGTTCACCAAAGACTCTTCAAGAAAGTGAAAAAAAAGAGCCACATAGGGGAAATGCATGTATTTTAGAACACATGTATCTGACAAAGGACACATACCCAGAATACATAAAGAACTACAAGTCAACAGGGGAAAAAAAGAATGAGAGACTTGAAAGGACACTTCACAAAGAGAACACACAAAAGACTAATAATACCGTGAAAAGCCATCAGGGAAACATCAAGTAAACCACAAGGAAACAGTAGCCAATAAAATCACAAGGACATACATACACACCCTTCAGGATGCCCCCCTCCTCCCCCGAAAATGACAGAGCCAAGTGATGGCCATGATGTAGAATCACCACTGGTGGTGATGCAAGTCAGCACAGCCATGTGGGAGAGTTGTGAGGCTGTATCTACTACACTGAAAATGTTCATTCTATTGGATGAATACCCAATCCACCACTGGGTATTCATCCAACAGAAATGTGCATAGATGTGCACGAATCAGAGCAGCACTGTTCGGACAAGCCAAAATCCAGAAACAATCTCATGTTTATCACGACAGAATAGATAAATAAATTGCAGTTTAGTCATAAAATGCAGTGCTACACCACAATGAAAATGTAAAAACTACAGTTGCAGGCTCCCACAGGGATGATCTGACAAACAAAGTGAATGGGGGCAGCCAGACACAAAAGAGTACACATGGCACCATTCCGTTAGACAAGGTTCAAACCCAGGCAAATCCGGTACAGGGTAGGAGACAGTCTACCTCCACCTGCCCACCCACCTGCCACCGCTGCATTTCCCAGCACAGAACAAAGCCACAGAGGTTGACCTCCTAAAGCTCAAACTGCATACACTTCAATAAAAAGGTTTACCTAGAAACTGTGACTCACCTTGAAGTACTTGTCAATTTTGGATAAGTTTATTCTTTTCTTGGCATCTAGTTTATAAATGTTGCTGACACTCCCATCCATCAAGTACAGACCAAACCCCATGACCTGCAAATCACAAAATGGCACATAAAGCTCAGACCTGCAAGTTTAATTACCCATAAACACTTAAACTGCTACAGTTCATAACTTAGAAATGACAATTCATTCTTCTTTCAAAAAGCACTTTTTAAAAAAATTTAAGTATAGTTGACCTACAACACTATGTTAGTTTCAGGAGCACAACATAGTGATTTGATATTTCTACACATTAAAAAATGATCACTACGATAAGTCTAGTTACCATCTGTCACCACGCAAAGATATTACAATATTAATGACTATACTTCCAACGGAGTACATTTCATCCTAGTGACTTACTTTGTAGCTCAAAGTCTATACCTCTTAATCTCACCTATTTCATTCACCACCACCCCCCAATAACCCCACTAGGAACCTCCTGTTTGTTCTCTGTATCTATGAGTCTGTTTCTATTTTATGTCTGTTCATTTGTTTTGTTTTTTAGATTCCACATATAAGTGAAATCATATGGTATTTGTCTTTCTGACTTCTTTCACTTAGCATAATACCCTCTAGGTCTTTTCATGTTATCACAAATGGCAAGATTTCATTCTTTTTTAGGGCTAATAGTACTCTATTATATATATATATATATATATATATATATATATATATAATTTATTTATATAAAATCTTCCTATGCATCTATCAATGTTACACTTTGGTTGCTTTTGTGTCTTGACTATTGTTAACAATGCTGCTGCAATGAACACTGGTGTGCGTATATCTTTTTCTTTTCTTCACATAAACATCCAGAAGTGGAATTGCTGGATCCTATGGTAATTGTAGAAGAACCAGCATACTGTTTTCTAGTGGCTGCAGCAACTTACATTCCCACCAGTGTTCACCAGGGATCCCTTTTCTCCACATCCTCGCCAGCACTTTGTCTTCTTTGGAAAAAATGTCTTCTTAGGAAAAAATGCCGATTTAGATCCTCTGCCCATTTTTAAACTGAATTTTTTTTTGATATTGAGTTGTACAAGTTCCTCGTATATCTTGGATATTAACGCTTTACTGAATATACTGTTTGCAAATGTCTTCTCCATTCAGTAGGTGACCTTTTCATTTTGACAGTTTCCTTCACTGTGCAAAAGCTTTTTAGTTTGACGTAGTCCCATTTGTTTATTTGCACCTTTGTTTCCCTTTCCTGAGGAGACAGATCCAAAATATATGTTTTCTTCTAGGAGTTTTATGGTTTCAGGTCTTAACATTTAAATCTTTAACCCATTTTGAGTTTATTTTTGCATATGGTGTGAGAGAGTAGTCCAGGTTGATCCTTTCGCAAGTAGCCGTCCAGTTTTACCAACACCACTTATTGAAGAGGCTGTCTTTTCCCTGTCATGTGTTCTTGCCTCCTTTGTCATGGATTAAGTGCCCATTTAAGTGTGGGTTTATTTCTGAGCTCTCTGTTCCACTGATCTATGTGTCTGTTTTTGTGCCATACCTTCCTGTTTTGATTACTGTAGCTTTGTGGTATAGTCTGAAATCAGGGAATGTGATACCTCCAGTTTTGTTCTTCTTTCTCAAGATTTGTTTTGACGATTTGGGGTCTTTTTGGTTTCCATACAAATGATAGAATTATTTGTTCTAGTTCTGTGAAAAATGCCATTGGTATTTTGTTAGGGGTTGCACCGAAACTGTAGATTGCCTTGGGTAGTATGGTCATTTTAACAATGTTAATTTTTCCAATCCCCAAAACACAACAAATATTTCCATCTGCCATTTTATTAATTGTTTCCTGGGTTTATTTTTAGAGTTCCTTTTTGTCCCTTTCTTCTTCTTTTGCTCTCTTCCCTCGTGATTTGATGACTATCTTTAGTTTTATGTTTAGATTCCTTTCTCTTTTTTGTGTATCTATTATAAATTTTTTAAATAAATTTTTGATTGTGGTCATTATGAGGTATATATATATATATATATATATATATATATATATGGCTATATATGATCATATATATATATATTAATTTATGATCTCAAGTTCAGACTCATTCTAATAACCCTGCATTTCTACTCCCCACCAACACTTAATGTTTCTGACATCATATTTTACATCTTTTTGTTTTGTGTACCCCTTAACTACTTATTGTGAATATAGATGATTTTACTACTTTTGTCTTTTAACCTTGCTACTAGCTTTGTAAGTAGTTGATCTACTACCTCTACCGTATATTTGCCTTTACCAATGAGATTTTTCTTTTTGTAATTTTAATATTTCTAGTTTTGGTAAAAAGCATTTTTAAAAGTCCCTCAGAAATTAATAGCTATCCTTTCACATGAAGCTATTTTATGTCATTTTTTGTGTCCTCTTCCAGGTGCATACATCAGCTCCACTTCTCATCAAGCACAAGGCAATACTAAATGTGGATTTCCATAAGCACTTATGACCAGGGGGCTCTTGCACCAGGTAGGTGAAAACAGAATGTTTCCACAGCCACAAAGCACTCCACTGGACAGTGTCCTCTTGCTCTGATCCCTCCGTGCTGCTCTCCAGCAGGGAAGAAGTATTGGAGATGGGCCCACTTGCACGGAGGGCTTTGGGTCAGCAGGACACCCAGAACAGGGTCCCCCAGAGCTGCCCTCCATGAAGGTAGAGAGCAGAGTGAAGAGAATGGCAGAAGCATCTTCTCGGAGTTACTCAGTTTTCCTGGGTCTCTCCCATGTACAAGTTATTAAACTTTTGTTTGAAAAAAAAAAAAAAAACCACCTTCTCATCTTCCCAGTGAGAAACATCTTTGAAAACCTCCCCAATTTGAAACAGAATAATAATGAGGAATATGGTAAATGGCATGTTTCTTGACCAACAAAAGTCTGCTATAATCATGGTGACACAGTACACTAAATTTCTAGGAATTACATCCTTACCACGTAGAATCTGGTATAACATCTGCTACAAGCTTTATACTGAGAAAGGCCCTTGACCAGGGACTCCTCACCCACGAGCACCTTCTCCAGGGATGGGCATGTGATCTACCTGGCACTGGGGTCAAGCTTGGAACACACTCACGGGAATGCATCAAGGACTTGTAGGGCAAACTGCATGTAGGGTGGAGGGTGCTATATATGCGCACGCGCGCGCGCGCGCGCACACACACACACACACACACACACGCATGAGAGAAAAGGTTGGCCAAACGACCATAAAGTGCAGCCTATTCACGAAATCAGGGCTGCCCCTATCTCATGGTGCTGTTGGGAGCCTACCCTCAACACACGTACTTTGAGAAGCATGTGTTTCTCACTGGGCGTCAAGTACATCCTGTTCTCATAGCAGTCCACACACAGATTCACAATGTCTGCTAAGAGCTCTTCATAGCCAGAAATCACTTCGAGCTGCTGCTGCAGAGACTGAAACACAGAGTGAGACACCTGTGTCACTGACCGCTCTCCGCCCCTCAGACCCCCAGTGATGTGCCCCATCAGCCAGAGCGGCAAGAGTGTGAATTACTTGTGTGATCTTGTTGTGGTTGGCCAGGAACATGGACAGATTCTGTGATTCCTGGATGGACTGTGGATCTGCCATTTTACGTAAAAACTGAGCAGCCCTATGAAAGGGGAAAAAAAGGATTAATCAACCAACATGCTTAATGACTTTAAAGAAAAACAGCCTGGGAATATCAAAATTATTTTACCCTCGCTACAGTTATCTGTAGAAATGTGCATCTTAGATGCCGGTTACAATTTCAGCCTCCTCCAGTTTCTCCCCTGAACTCCAGGTAAGTCTCTTTGCAACCTGGGTAGTTCATGACCCTACTGTCCATAGCTGATGGACTTCCTCAGAGATGTGGCAGCACTTCTCACAGGCCTTCCTGAAGGGCACCTACACTTGGGCCTCTCCCCTGCGCTCCCTGTCCCCAGGTGTGAGAAAGGATGACACTCCCTCTATGACTTCCAGAGCTGAGTGACAAAGACGGCCAACACTGTTTAGGTTCTCTGCTGGGAAACTTTTGGGCAGCCAAACCTCCCAACAGTCAGGGACCACACCACGCATAGTTCTGGTGCCAAAGGTCTGAGACAGAATCCTGATTCCACCACCAATTTGCAGCTCCATCTTGGACAAATCTAAAGATCCGGTACCAAGTCGATCATGAGGGCTGGCTTTTCCCACACCACCACGCAATCCCCTAGCACCAGCTGCCAGTGGCGTTACAATTCCGACACTGCCTGAAGATAGCATCAGACCCCACAGGTTAAGAGCTCAGTCCCACAAGACTGCCACGTCATCCCCCCACTTCAGACACTAGCTGGAGGTCCACGTTGTCACTGTGCTCCTGGCCAACCAGCTACAGATTGGCAGTCCCAACAACCCCTTCTTTGGGTTCGATTAATTTGTTAGAGCAGCTCACAGAACTGAGAAGACATTTTATATACTAGATTAATTTAACAATTCATTATGAAAGGATATAACTCAGAACAGCCAAATGGAAGAGATACATATGGGGACGGGGTAGGGGGGGGCTTCCATGCCTTCTCCAAGCACCACTCCCCCCGAAACCTCCACATGTTCACCAACCTGGAAGCTCTCCGAACCCTGTTCTTTGGGGTTTTTATGGAGGATTCCTCACATAAACATGCTTGGTTAGATCACTGGACATTGGCAATGGATTCAACCTCTAACCCCTCTCTCCTCCCTGAGATCAGGAGGGTAGGTCTGAAAGTTCCAACCCTGTAGTTACAGGGTTGATTCCGCTGGTGACCAGCCCCCATCCTTAGAGTAACTAGAGGCTTTCCAAAGTCACCACATTTACATAACAAAAGAAACTTTATTGCTTTTATCACGGGACATTCTAAGGGTTTTAGGAGTTCTGTGTCAGAACTGGGGATGAATATATTTCTTATTATAAATCAACATCACACCTCCTGAACTCTCCTGACTCTCACCATATCTGTGAAAAACAACAGCTATATGACCTACCCAATGGGGCTCTGACAAGGGAACGGTGGACACAGAAGGACCTGTACACTGAGGTCCAACAAATCCTGTGCAACACGGGCTGAGTCTCTAGTTTTTGCAAAGAGGGTGAAAGCACATATGAGGATTCTGCACACCTAGGGCTTCCCCAAAAAAGTTTAGTGGAAACTGCCCACATAAGGACCTGTCTGTGCAACCTAGAACCTCTGGGGTTTTACTGAAGAAAAGCTTTCATGGCAAAGACTGGTAACCTAACCCAACTGTCATTTCCTTCCCTTTCCTTCCCTTCCCTTCCATTCCCTTTATTCAGAATAAACCCTGAATTTCTGTGGTGTAGTAATGTGCCTCATTCTCATCTCCACGCTGTGACCAACTGCTGAAC